CATGAGGGAGAATGACGTGACTAGTTAACAACTACAGCTGCGGGCACTCGGCTCAGCACTGAGCCACATGACCATCGTGCTGTGAAAGGTGGGGCCAAAAGTACTGCTACGACGGTTCCACTTCACACAGGGGGCATCCCAAACAACTTGTGTTTGAGTGCGTCTCTGTGAGGGAGGATGAGTGCAGGCAGGTACTCTCAGAAATGGTTTGGGCACCTTCAAACAGAGGGTCCAATCACAACAGTGGCTTCCAAGGGGATCAGCCGAACCAGTGAGAGAGGTCAAGGCAGAGAGGTCCGCTCTGAAGGTTCTACAGTTTTGTTCTGTGTTTTTTTTGTTTTTAATTCCAAAAGAGTTATCTTAATAGGTTCTCTCCATGGACACAAGACATGCATAGGGACTTACTGTGGGAAACTGAGAACCGGGAAGAGAATGTACAGGGACAAATTCTTATGTTAAGAAGCCTGGGAGGCCGGGGTGCTAGGTGGAGGGAGTTAGAGATGAGTCCCAGTCACATTCTCATAATTAAGATTAATCCAAATCCTCCTCTAATAGTGCTATCTTAAAGTTCCCTCTTACAAGCACATGGCTGATTGCGATCTGGCAGGAAGATTTATCTATAGGAGCAGACATGTTCCAACTGCTGTCCCTTGATTTCTCTCTCTCCCAGACCTGGTTCCAGATACCATGGGGGTGAGCACCCCAAAACTTCTGTCTCAATTTTTTCCCTTCAATTATACAACTGTCCTTTAGGACCCATCCAGATGTGGGCTGGATCCCACAATTAGGAAGAAGTTTTTTGTTTGTTTTTTTTTAATTGAAAACTGCATTGGGAAGAAAAGACCAGGAAATTTGTACTGTCTTCCAGCACATCAATGTATCTGCTCATTCTTCAAGGGCAATCCTATTGGAATTTCCTTGGGAAATCTTACCTCATCTACCCTACAGCCCTGATCTTGCACCTTCAGACTTTTTTTGTTCTCAAAACACAAAGAACGTGTCAAAGGAATTTGACCTGAGTTCTTTGAAGATGCCCAAATTGCTGTTCTGAGGTGGTGTAAACTGATTCTTTGGGGGAGGGCTAGAGAAGTGGAGATTCTGCCCTCAAAAGTGTAGACAGCAGGGCGGAGGAGAGGTCAAGAAACAATAGTTTAACATTCTGGTAATTTTGTCAAACAAAGGTTTCTATGATTTTGTAGCAACGCTTTTTTACTTACCCCTGTATGTCACCCACCAACACTGTCAGCCTTTGAGGTTTCTTGGGCGATGCTACTCCAGTTGTGGTGTGTGCTCCCACTGGCAGGGATGATTTTAATCGGTTTGAGCCTCGCTCCACCAATCCTACCAGCAGAATCCTCTTGGGACATACCGTATATACTCATGTATAAGCCGAGTTTTTCGGCACATTTTTAATGCAGTTTTTGTGGTAAAATTAGGTGCCTCGGCTGACATTCAGGTTGGTTATACTCGAGTATATACAGTATGTATCCTACGTAATTGTATAAAAATCCATATTACCGCAAAAAAAAAAAAATTTCCCCCTTGATTTCATTCTACCTTCCCGTATTGGAAACACCAATAAGGCATCCACAAAAAATTCAAAGTAGAAAATAATTTGGTCATGAAAGAGTTAACAGCTCCCTTTCTGCCTGTATAACCAAGGAGAGTATGGCACTGCCTTTGGGATTGTCCTGGCTTGTGCCTCTTCACCTGTCTCCATTTCTTAATACTGACATTGCTAAGAAAATACCTCACCAGTGCCCCAGGTCAGGACAAGGAGGGGGGTGGCCAACTGGCCCTGAGAAAATCACTGTTTTCTGCCCCCGGGCCATGTTCCACAGAAGAAAGGTCTCTGACTGTCACTTCCTCAATGATGGATCGGCCCTTGAAAGAGACCCTGATTCTGCGGGAGCTGAGGGAGGGAGGGTGGTTCCTGCCTTCATTCAGTCCCTTCAGAACCTCTTCCCTCGGATACTTCCGGCTTCCTCTATCCCGCTTTCTGAACAGCTCCTGATCACCCTCACAATGCCAACCCTTGTAGTGAGAGCATAACTTCCTAAAAGAGACAGAAACGCACAGAGAAACAGACCCTGGGGGGAGATGCCATCCTCTTAACAAGATGCTGGACTCTCACTCCAACGGCCCCTTTCATTGTAACCCCTCCCCTTTCTCTGCCCTGAGCCCAGCAGAGGGAGCTCCTGGTGAGACATGGCAACCAGACTGCCACAGGAGCCGAACAAAGTGTAATTTAAGGAGCCCATTTTGCCCACCTCGGCTAAAAGGAAGGCTCTATACCAGGCCGCCCTGTAACTAACTCTGCATACTGACCAATGACCAGGCAGTTAGCAAACAGACCCACGAGGGGCAGGGCAAACACTCTACCCGAGCCCAACAGAGCTGCATTTAGTGATGCTCAGGAGTGAAACTGGAAAGTCCCTTCTAAAGGGAAAGCCTCCAATTAACAAACAAGCAAAAAACAGGGCACAGGAGATTCAGCAAACAAATGCTGACTTTGGGTGCTCTTTCCCATTATCCCATTGTAGTGGAAATACCTCAAAGTGCATCGCTCAAGACAGCAGAGCCCCTCCCCTCGTATGCACGCACCTTCCTTCTCACCCTGCCTCCTTCCCTGTCAAGCCCACCACCCTGGTCAGTCAAGATCCCCCTGCTGCTTGGCTAGAGTGCGCCTCAGCTCCCGCAGGTTCTCCGTCAGCACCTGCACCTCGTCCAGGCGGCCGCACTGCTTGGCATCAAAGATGTACGCCTTGATGTTGTCAATCTGCTGAAGCAGCAGCTCCTCCTCAATGGGCCCCTCGCCCTCAGGGCCGCTGTCATTGTCATTGTCTACTTCAAAGGGGTTAGTGCAGGCAGGCTCCTCGAAAGGGTTGCCAAGACCAGGAGGGCTTGAAGGCCTCTGGGAGGGAGATTCATCTTCCTCATCGAAGGGGTTGGGTGCTGAGCCATCTGGCGTAACAAAGGGATTCCCCACTACTGTCTCCTCGTCTTCCTCCTCTTCTTCCTCAAAGGGATTGTATTCCCTTGGGATCTGGGCTGAGAGTCTGACGGAAGCCTCTGCAGCAGGAGGGCTGCCAGCACCCTCCTCTGTGGGGCTGGAGAGATCTTCCTCCTCAAAGGGGTTTGGGGCAGGCACCTCCGTGGGCTGTGGCGCAGAGCTTGGGGGGAGGAACTCCTGGCTGAGCGCCGGAGGCCCACACCATGCTCTCATGGGCTCTCCAGCTGAGCTGGGTGAGGGCGTCTTGGGAGCTGCACGACTCTGAGCTGGGGGCACACCGCGGTGCAGGGTGTGAGTGAGGAGGGTGTGAGGCTCTCTCCCAGGATCCAGCTGAAAGGGCCTGACTTCTTGGAAGTCCAGGGACTGCGTCCGTGTGTGCAAGGACACCGCTTGGAACTGCTCCTTTTCCCGTTCCCACTCCCGTTCCTGAAGCATCTGCAGCTGCTCCCGCTGCAGGGCCTCCTCCTCAGCCTGCCTCCGGGACAGCTCAATGGCCTTCTCTGTCTGCTGCTGGTCGTACTCATCCTGCAGCTGCCGCAGGTTCTCCTGAAGCGTGCGCATTTCATCTGTCCGACCTGCGGCCTGGGCCTGGCTGATGAATGATGTGATGTTGTGGATCTGCTGGAGGAGGGGGTCTGAGTCTTCACTGTGGCCCTGCCCTCCTGAGAGAGGGAGCCAGCCCTCGGCCTTCTGCAGGGAGGGAGGGCCCCTGCGAAGAGACGCCACCTCCCCGTTGGCTGCACGAGGAGCCAAGCCACTCTGCTTTTCCTCCAGCCTTCGCTGGGATTCCAGGGCGGCCTGGGGAGAAGAAGCACGGTCATAGGTCACAAGCAAGTGCTGCTCCAGACCCCCTTCTATCCGAGCCAGCACGATGCTCGTGCCCACTTCAGGACAAGCACAGCCAGCTGCTACCACCACATGAAGTTCTTTGATGGGGGGGCTGGGAAATGGCAGGCTCTGGTTTTCAAAAATGAATCAAAGGGTGAGATTCACTGGCCATCTGCTTTTTTTCTCCAGCTTCTGAGCTCTATCCCTGATGTACACTAGTCTCACACAGCAGTACACAGGCAGGGTATGTGCTGTTTAAGATTGCACAGCCTCTGCAACCTCCCTCCGAAGGGAAAGTGCCAGTCTCTCTGGTGCTCTCCAAACTCACTGCCATTGAGTCTAGGCTGACTCAGAGCAGCCCCCTAGGACAGGGTAGAACTGTGCCCGTGGGTCCCGAGACTGGCACTCTGTATGCGATACAAAGTCCCGTCTTTCTCCCGCTCTACAGTGTCCTAGGCAGGAGAAAATCAGTTGAGCCTCTGAAATACAAGCAGAGGTGCATTCTGTTTTTTTGTAGACCCGAGGGAGGCCAGGCCAGAAGCAAAACCCATAGTAGACAGCATGAGAGGTTTTGCTTCGCTGTCATCTCACAGGGCCTTGTGGGAGCTCTGGGGTCAAGGGTACCCGTGCAGGAAGCCATGGCGGGAGCTATTCCACTCGCCTTTCTCTCCTGTAGCCTCTTCTTCTCTAGTTCCTGCTTCCTTTTCGTTTTCAGTTCCTCAAATTGATCTTTGGTAGGGAGTGACATCAAGCCAAGCAACTTTTCCTGTAGAGAGTCACAAACAGTTTCGGGGAGTCAATGGAATGCCTGTGTCAGTTAAGCTCTGACACCCTCAGTCACACTGACAGTCACAAGGGTGGACCTAACCCTTACATTGGGCCAGTGAGTTAATGTCCCAGTCATGCTGCCCTTTCCTTGTGAGATGATCAGTATTAGACACCCTTCAGTTATTCACCTGGCGCAAATGTCACCTTCTCAATGGGGCACCTAGGTCAATTTGTAACTCTCCACTGCAGCCTCTCCATGGACCCCTTCTCCCTAAGACTTTTCACTAGCTTGCTAGGGTCTGGCGGCAGCATTACTGGAGACATCTTTTCTGTTTACAAAGCGTACTCTGCCAGTCTTCCCACATTGGCGTCCGACCCACACGCGGCATGATCAGCGCCTAACCAGAAACATGCGCAGGATTCATCGTGTCTAAAACATTTACAGATGTCCCAAAGACATAAATACCCTGGAATTTCCTTATTTCCTTTACTCGCTCTCCTGCCGTTCCCCACTGCACCCCCTTGCAGCGTTGTGTTTGCCCCTCACCCCTGTTCTCCGCCTGACATGCCTGCAGCTCCTACCGCTCTCCAGGGGCTCCTTTCAGGTCCCAAACCCTACTGTAGTTCGCTCGTGGGCCGGGATGACGCCTAATGTTCTCTTCCTTTCTGTAGTAGCAGCTCTCATGGTCTCCATACCTTTTGAGTCAGCTGTTCTCTGGCTTCAGACAAAGGGCCAGCTCTAACCTTTCTCCATGCAGCTACACTAAAATCCTTTCACCTCATCTCCTTTTATCTCGTTCCCTACCAACCTCACCTCCCTCAATAAATCTATTAATTAAGCCTCGTGCTGTCCCTCATCTCTGAAAGACCTGACACTTACCACCCATGCATTGGAGGTGCTTATTCTCTACCCCTCTCTAGAAAAGAAGTTTTACAAGAACAGAAATGTCTGTCTTTTTTATAGCAGTTTGAAGCTACCAGTCATTCCACCGGAGAAAGATGAATCTTTCTACATCCATCAAGAGTTAAAGTCTTGGAAACGCACAGAGGCAGTTCTACTCTGCCCGATAGGGTCACTTTGAGTGCGAACCAACACTGAATTTGTTTGTCTTGTTGGACACCTAACACCTAGAGCCCTGCCTGATACATAGAGGCACTCGGGGCTCATTCATCAAAAGCAGGAAAGGCCTCCTTCTAGGCCGGACAGTGTCAGGAAACTGACTGGACAGGACCCTGTCCGCTGGAAGTCTTTACCAGGGAGCCCCGGAGCTGCCGCCTGTGGTGCTCTCACGGGCGGTTCTCAAGGGTAGAAAGATGCCACTCAGCTCTAACTGCCTAGGTTTAACCTGCCTCCGAACCACCAGCAATCTCCTCCTAACCAAGGCCCCAGGGAGAGCCCTTCAGGAGCTCCCCAGGCGGAGGTGCTGTGTACTAAGCGGGGATTCCACCAAGTCCACACCAGCCTGCGTGGTGCAAAGATGACAAGAACAAAATTCCAGCATGGTGAAGAGAAAAGCATCAGAGCGAAAAGTGCGAACCCCCAATTTGTAGAAGACTGTGGAGGGCAGTGGAGCCCAAAGCCCGTCTGCAGAGGACCTAGTCAGACCGTGCCGCTGTCGGATCCGCTCTAGCCAGAGGCAAGAGTCCTGAACAGCCTTACTATCAGGCAGAGACCATTGTCATCTTGATTACGCTGGATTGACCACACTATGTGGCCAGTTGACCTCACTATAGATACAAACTGAATTTGTTCTGGGTGCAAGTATCTTGTAGCTGTTCCATGACAGAAATTTCTTCCCTGGCTTTTTGAAAGTCGACGGTGCTCTTCTCCCTCTCACGCGTTATTTCTATTTTTGTCTTTATACTAATACCACCTTTGTGCAGTTTGTTTTTCATTGTCTTCTGCTGGGCTTCCCAGCTGGGAAGCACTGGAGGAGTGGATGTACAATGATAAGCACTGATACAAGGCGTTACAGGGATTGCAGGGGTGGGCGGTGGGCGATAGGGAGGGAAAGGGGATCTGGGGAGTCAACAATGAAGGCAGGAGCGGAGAGGGAGCACTAGAACTGATTGTGATTGCACAACTCATTTAAAGGCGATTTAACCTTGGGGAGTGGGGAGGCTCTAAGATACATGTGGTGGTGATTGTACAATTCCCCTTGATATAATTGAACAATTGAACTACTCAATTGTATGACATGTAAATTATGTGCCAATAAAACTGTTGGGGAAAAACAGAAGTACAGTGCATCCCACATGGCGAGCTTTAATAGCCAAATCAGGACCTATCCAATGTCCAACCAAAGGGGAGAGCTACAGGATGCCAAATCCAGTCACGGCAGCCAATCGAACAACAGTGCTCATGATCTAACACTTATGGAAAGAAGAGGAGACATAGACTGCTACTAATTAGATAAAAAACACACACACAAAAGAAACAGAATACACTAAAATGATGCGCTACTATACAAGGGATATGGGATTAAAAGTACTTTTACTTTGCTCTGAAACACAGATGTTTCTCTAAATATGGCACAATGTATTCATAATCTTCAAAAAGAATAATAGACATATCGATATAAAATACAAAAATACACAAGCTATTGGCATGAGCTATGCTTTCCGAGGAGTGTGTACCAAGTGTGATATTCACACCACCGTACGATGGCTCACCTGCACAAAAAGTGTCGCCGAGTATCTGACCATTCGCTGCAGCCGCAGAGTGTGTGGGTGTGGTGGAGGGTCCCGGTTCAAGCCTAGGGTTAAGATCTTCTTACTGGATTAAGACAAACGCATCAGTGTAGCACGCCCTACCAACCTCGGAAATGAAGGTGTACAGTCCCCTGGCGGTGCCCGGTTTTCACGAGGAACCAAGAATCATAGGGGAGATGGGCAAGCGGTTTCACTCACATTTCCTTGAGGACAACGCCCAATTCGTACTCTTTGGGTGTACCCAAGGTCCCTAACACAACACAGGGTGCTTGACAAAGACTCCGTCATTGAGGGACTGACCACATAGGCAAGCGTGTGACCTGTGCCCAAGATCTAGCACTTAGAGCTGCTTGTGCTTGATTCAATGCTCTACTGTCACTGACTTAAAATTCTTAACAGTTTTCGAACAAAGGACCTACATTGCACCAGGTCCTGCAAATTCTGTAGCTGGTCCTGCATGGGTGGACAGACAGACTCCATAACTCAGTTCTCCTTCTCTATCACTGCATCGCATATGCCTCAGTGGGCTGATTGAACCCTGGCAGCCAGTCTCAGTTAAAAAATCACTACAGACTTGAAGGAAGAATAGGCTAGAACCGGGTTTAGATCCCGATACTAATCTTTTTGCTAGCTGTGTTACATCTTATGACCTATAAAACCAGGGCTATTATCTCACAGGGTAAAACAGATGAGATATTCTACGTGGAAAATAGAGTGATGAGAGCACATCGCTGTCAACACATAGCTCTTATTCTTTTAGAAGTACACACATTAGAAAACAGTAACCAAGAGTTATTGTGATTCATCAGGTATCAGCGCTACCACCCTCCTTGGACTCCCCTTCACACATTCCCACTGTCACACGAACTGTGGGTGAGCCCAGGTTAGCTGGTCATCCACTTATTTCATTAGAACACATAGATTCTAACTTCTGAACCTTGCCAATGAAGACCAGCAGGTAAGACAGGCCATACCTTAAAGTGTCTATTAGCTCATATACTTTCTGTACTTCCACCCGAAGGTCATTGGCATGTTCCAGACTGTAGGTTGTCTCCCCAGCACTGGAAGAAATCACAGAGACATCTGATCACTATTAAATCATGCTGACTGAAGAGCAGAGTGTAGGCGGAGCTAGCAGTCGGCAGCTGCGAGATTCAATCAGACTGCAGTCATCGGCCCTCACTGTCCCGAGCCCTCCAGCAACTATTTAATAAAGTGACTTGATTGCCAAAAAAATAAAATAAAGAAGGTTCTAGTGGATTTAAGTGAGGCTTAAGGCCTCACTAAAGCAGATATAGTTCATTTTTCTAAGAGTGACAATTTGTACTTAATGCAGGGTTCATTCCTATTCAAAACATAAGTGCTAATGAATGGGAAGCTCGGTTTGCAGGCACCAGAGGTTCATGCCTCAGACTCCTGCACATTGCTTAAACAGGTGGGGCTGAGTCTACTGTAAAGTACTTTCCCTAAGTAATTCCACTATGCCTAGGAAAGTATCTGATGTGCTCAACTAAATGCAGGGGCTGTGCTATGCTAGCGCAGAGTGCCTCTTGAGTTTTCTATGCAACCACGCCTCCTCCGGGGGAAGCGGGACGACGGGGCAGCTACTGCATGGCGCCACAAGTAGGGAGATATGTCTAGACTTCCGCCGGGCACTGTCAGCCATTTCCTTATGTCTCTCTCTCTACACACACACACACACACACACAATCACCTATCTCTATGAAACTCTCTCATATGCCAGCTCACTGCCATTGAGTCCATTCTGATCTATGCACCAATCTATTATTTAGCTGATGGTGACCTGGGAATACCTCAGGGTAAGAATCTTGTCAGGGAGGAGGGCTCTAATCTCAACCGGTTTAATAAGTCTACACCTTTTCAGAATTTGAGTTCTGTTCTACAGTTTTTTCTCATTCTTTCAAAGTCCATTCATTGTGACCCTGATCAGAACAGTCAGTAGTGGTAGCCAGGCACATCTAGTTCTGGCCTCTGCTCTTGAGGTCATGGCTTCAGTAGACTCTTAGTCTATAGACTTGTTTCTTCTCGGAGACTGAAGTTTCCTTCTTCACTCCCAGCATTACGCCCCAGATGCTATTCACCAAACCAGGAGACGGCGTTCGTGAACTATATCCTATCAACTGACCGAGTTGTCTCATGAGATTATGATCCCAGGCCTTTAAATCTAGTACACCAATCCTGCAAGGCATTTGTTAAGTCTAAGAAATTTCCACAAATGTGTCCCTTATGTAGTTTGTTATATAAATATATAAGCATGTACACATATGCACATAGATACACCTATACATGCCCACGTACATATACACCCATACCTCCCTATACACACATATGCCTACCTACCTATATATATAAAATCACATATATATTTTTTGGTTATTGCTGCTATTGCTAAAAATTGTGTATGTCACAGCATTTACCAAAAATGTGCCTTGTTCTGGTGTCACTTATTAGTGACACCACTTACCTTGGCCAAGCTGTACAAACTGTACCTTTCCCATCACCAAAAATAACAAGTGTCTCCTATCTAGAGAGTGATTCCCCCTCCCTGCTCCATCCAACTCTGGTAACGACCAATGAGCACTGGGATCTATGTATCAATTCTTCTCATAAAAGTGCAATCATACAATATTTGTCCTTTTGTGATTGACTTATTTCACTCAGAATAATCATCATCTACGTTGTTTCCATGACTCATTCTTTTTTTGGCTGTGTGGGACTCCACTGTATGCCTGCACCATTTTGTTTATCCATTCATCCAAAGATGGGCACACAGGCGGTTTCGGTCTTTTGGTTCTAGTGAACAGTACTGGGATGAACACAGGTGTGCGCATGCCTATTCACGTTTCTTCTATCAGATCTCTGTGGTATATACACAGGAGCTGAACTGCTGGATCATAAAGTAGTTTTCTTTCTAGTTTGGGGGGGAGGCACATGGTAGTTTTACCATTTTACAACCCCACCAGCATGAATTGATAAATGGATATACGAAATGCGACATAAACCCCATGCAGTGAACTGGGCTTTACCTCAAACTCACCTGCAACTGTTGGTCTTAAGGCTGAAATTCCCTAATGTTTCAGAACCAGATGACTGTTATCCCACCTGGCAATCATTGGACTTTGGTGTGGGCTGAGACTATCATATACTCACTATTTTAATACTCTCTTTGCTTTATTATTACGTGTATCAGTCTGGTAGGCATGGTTCCGCCATCGTGAATGTTATTGAAAAGTTTGCTCTATCATCAACCCCCAATGTTTGTGTAAATAGTGTGCAGTCACTTAAGAGTTTAATCTGCACACGTCAACAACTCTTGTACTGCAGTTTGTAGCCAGTTTACATTTGCATGCCCTCTTCTTAACAGTGTTTTAAATTCTACACCATTGGCTAAATGAATGACAGTATCAATAGAATTACCTTATGCCCTAGGACAGCAGTTCTCAATCTGTGGGTCGAGACCCTTTTGGGGGTCGAATGACCCTTCCGATGGTCTTAGGCAACCATCAGAAAACACAAATATTTCAAAATATATAATACATATTGTTTTGTGATTATCACTATGTTTTAATGATGTTCAATTTGTAACAATGAAAATACATCCTGTATATCAGATATTTACACGACGAATCATAATAGTAGCAAAATTACATTTATGAAGTAGCAAAGAAAATAATTCTATGGTTGGGGTTCACCACAACATGAGGAACTGTATTAAAGGGTCACGGCATTAAGAAGGTTGAGAACCACTGCCCTAGGAGGAGGATTGATAATGTTCTCTAACAAAATGATAACAATGTCTTTAAAGTGTAAGAGAGACACATATAAACCATATATCTGAAAGGAATTGGGGCTCATTATTAGAAAGAATAGCATCTGTGGTCTTAAAGGCTTGCTTTCAAACAAGCAGCCATCTAAGTGAGGCATCAACTAAACCCACATGGAAAAAGCACACCAGTCTGTGTGATCCAAGGATTACAAATAATAAAATCTAAACCCAAAGGAGGGACTCGTTTCAGAGCGTAAATTGTGAACACCCAGTTTACAGAAGGCTATCGATGACAGTGGGAGTTCAACGTCCATGTGCAGGGTCCATGCATGCATGAAGCCTCCAGTGAATCCCCGCTGCCCATAGACCAGGGGTGTGAATAGCCTTGCTAGCATGCAGAGTGCAATGGGTCTTTTCTTTTCTGCATGAAATCCAGGATAGGTAAAGCTACAGCAACTGCACTGATGGTTGCTTGGGCAGTATGGCAGGGGAGGTGGGGGCGGGGGGTGGGGGTGAGGAGCTGATGGCAATGAGTACAAGAGAGACGTAAATGTTCTAAAATTGATGGTGGAGATGACTGTACAACTCTTTTGAATGTGATTAAAACTATTGAATTGGATGATGTGAATTATAGGCCAATAAAATGGTTTTTAAAATGTGGCCATAAATACATTGTACATCTGTGCCATATAATTCAGATCATACAATTCAAGACAGAATGAAGGACTGATAACATGTTACAACACAGATGAACTTTGAGAATACTGTGTTAAAGAAGCTGTCACAAAAGACTACAAATTGTATGATGCCATTTATGTGGCATGTCCAGACTAGGCAAAGCTCTAGAGGCAGACTATAGATAGCTGGTAGCCAGAGGGGTGGGGAGCAGCTGCTTACTGAGTATTAGGTTTGCGTTTAGAGTGACAAAAATGTTTGAAACTACACAAAAGTAGTTAGATAACACTTCAAATGTACTAAATGTCGCTGAACTGTTAGCTTTTAAAACGGTTAATCTTATAGTATGTGAATTGCATCTCAGGATTATTGTTTTTAAACATACAGTAGGCTAGATCTGGCCTGAGCGCTGTGGTTTACTAAGCCCTGCTCTAAAGGAATGGCCCTGTTCAGCCCTATCCTACATTTGCCTAAGAAAGACCATGAGGCCACTACCCTTCTCTCGCTCCGGATGCTGCCCCAGCACTGGTACCAATCATCCAATACCTGTTTTCCCAAGCCTGCTCCACGCAGCCTAGCTGGAAGTCACCTACTGGAATACGTTTTCACAGAGCTCGAATGATTGTGATGTGGCCCTACTGGAATATGGACACCGAGACTGCGCTCTCGAGTGAGGCACAGAACAAAAGCATGGATTTGGTTAGCTTTTCATTTTCAGAACTGATCTAACATCTCAAAACATATTCACCACTGGAGTGGGAAAAGGGGAGGAGGAGCTTACTTTAACGATGTGGCCATCCTGATGTATTCAGGAGCTTTCTGGTCAACTTTCTCCATGCAGAGCTGCAATTTCTAAGAGTGAAACAGAAAAGTTGAATTTGGAAACAAATAGTGGTGAGGGTCATACTACTTGGTGAACATAATTATCGCTAAATCATACATGTAAATAAAGTTGAAATGACAAATATTTTGTCATAAGTATTTTTCTTTTTGCTTTTATTTATTTATCATAAGTATTTTTCTAAAACATGGTAAAAAAATGTAGAGTAGATTTTTGGGTTAAGTTTTCATCGTTGATTTCCTGATTTACAAAGCTACTTTATCAGCAGAAAATCGCATGGTAAGGAAAGAGAGGGTGGAACTTGGGATCAGATGGTTTTGAGGAGCAAGGCCTTCCAGGACACAAACTAATCAAGCAGGCGTTCTCAAACTGCAGCCTGCCGAGGACATTTATCTGGCCCGCCGGGTGTTTTTGCCCCATTTGATTTTTTACTTCAAAATAAGATATGTGCAGTATGCATAGGAATTTGTTCATAGTTTTTTTCTTTTAACTATAGTCCGGCCCTCCAATGGGTCTGAGGGACAGTGAACTGGCCCCCTGTTTAGTTTGAGGACCCCTGGACTATTGTGTCACTGGGGCAAAAAGGAGGAATTACATGCTACATTCTTTCTTGGCCAGCTGGTGTCAGGCAAGATCCAGGCACTGCCAAGGTTTACCTCGAGAAAGGAAACAGAGTACACTGGCTATTTATGAAAGTAAAACCTAAGCATAAATCTCACACAGAAGATAGATAATAGCAAGCAACACTTAGCTGAGCAGCGGGTTTAATAAACACCATTTTCAGTAACGGGTATTTTCATAGTGATTCCAGAAACATAGCTACTAAGAGACAGAACTGTTAACCAACCTTCAGTAGTTATCAGACGAAAATACACTCGTCCTATAAGAGGGTTTGGGGGGCTTCCTGTTCTGTTCTCTGCCTTGTCTGTTATGCCTCCCTGCCCGGCCTCACCTGGCTGATCCCTACTCCACCCACATGCCTTAACTAGTCACTAGGAGAACAAGCCCAGCCTCACTCCCAGAGACCTTGACTGCTTTGTGCTACACTGTTTCTTTTAAAGTGTGCATCTGCTAAGGGTGCTATGGAGTCACTCATAAAACGAGCTGGAGCATCTGAACGGACATAAAAAGGGAAATGCTAAACCTACAGGCACTTTCCTAAGCTTGAAAAGCCTGACTCCTTGAATGAGCCTCCCCAGGACTGTTCCTGACCACATGTCCAATGTCCTCCCCCAGTTCTGGCCTTGCCCACAGAACCTGCTCTTAGCATATGGCAACCATCCGGTGCTCCCAGACCACCAGTGCAAAGGTACTCCCAAGATGGCTCTTGGAGAAGACACCAAGTGGAGCCTCGGGGCATGACCTTTTCTTTAGCAGAAACTTGAAATGATTCAAAGGAACCACTAAGTTCCCAGAGTTGTCAGGACTGCAGGCATAGCAAGCACCGTGGGAGGCAGCCCCTGAGCCACTGTCTCACCTCGTACAGCTTCACGATGTCAGGTGTGTGCTCTTTCTCGTCAATCTGCTGCTCCCTCTTGAGCAGCGTGTCCTTGCAGTGCGTGCAGCAGCGGATGCGGTCGTCATCCTTTTCATCCAGCACCGAGCTCACACTGCTCACGCTGCTGATGCTGCCCCGGCGGGAACCTCGGACACTGTTGGGCGACTGACTGGGACTGGTGTGGGTGCTCAGGGAGTCCTTGCTGGCACTGGTGAGCTTGTCTGCAAACCACAGCACAGGACAAGCAACAGTATACACCAGTATCTAAGTACTCCGTCTTCCAGGACAACAGTGTGCCTGTCCACAGTTCCTTGATTTGGGCTCCTCCTATGGACAAGAAGTACCTAGACTTCTGACTTTGGGGGGTCATACCCTGGTGGTAAAAGCATCCTACTGCCATTGGGGAAGGGCCACACAGCCTAGGGTGGTCTGTCTTCAAGGCTTGGAGGCCCATTCTTACCTGGCCTCATCACATACCTTCCTCCTTGTTCCCTGGGGTACCCCCAAACATAGCCTCCCCCATTCCCAAACCTCTCCTACCCTTCCAAAGTATAGCACAATGACATGTCCTCCAGCATGTTTCCCCCATTCTCAGGGGTGACTATGCTACCATGCCTGCTGGCTCCCACCACACTGCCCATCTTGGGACACTTTCCACTGACCTGCTCATACAAGTTATATACACACTCCAAAGCTGCCCAAGGAACCAGTGACTCTTTAAAGGTAGAAGCTTCCTTATTTATACTTGCACTCCTAACATACCCAGGAAGGCCACTCACTCTACAGCAGCTGCCCAGAAAATATTAGGATACAAAAATACTCCTCAGGGGAAACAGGGCGTCAGCCTCCAAGGAAAGGTGAAGGATGAAGGTAAAGTGATCCCTGTGGGTGGGAGGGTTGGACAGAGGAAGCCTCTGCTTATGCCTCTAGGTTGTCCCAAAACTGTGTGATCTGGACATGCACAAGGGTACCTGGGACTTGTCCCTGGGACAAGGCTTAAACTCATCCCAAAGCTGCTAAGGTCAGCTTTAGCAACTTTTAACTAGCTGAGAGTCAAAGTCTGGGGCGTGATCTCACCTTACTTTTGAGGTTTCATTCCCATAATTCCTACAGATGCACTCCACACTCTGACGACTATTCCATTTGCTCACCTACTAATTATTGAGTCTCTGTAAATTCTGTATGTCTGCCCTGCTCGGGACTCTACCCAGCATTCCTCCCCTCTCTTCTGCACTTCCATTCATCTTTCAAGGCTCCTCAAGAACCTTGCTTCCTGAACCTGAGCACCCAGGCTCCTGCTTTCCACAACATCGGCAGCACAGTCTCTCTCACGGTATGACATTAGGTGTCCTAAACAACAGTGAACTGCGAGGGCTTTGATCCCAAAGGAAAGGAGCAGCCCACTTCTCATTTTTCCAGCCCCTCTCCTACAGTCTCCTTTTGAAACCCCACCTGCCCCATCCAAGCAGAGCTGAGCCTCTCCTGGTACCTGAACACTTGTCTAATTGTACCTAATGCTGTATAAAGCAACTCTTCATGTGCGAGTCCCTACGCCTTGCTACATTCTGGATTTCCAGAGGAATGGACTATGTTATATAGACCAAAAAGCAAACCAACAATAACAACAACAACAAAAACACTGATTGCTGTCACATCCATTCCAACTCATGGCAACTGCATATGTTGGACTAGAAGAACTGCCAAGCAGGGCTTTCCTGACTATAATCTTTAGTTCCCCAGGTTTTTCTTCTGAGGCACTGCTGGATGGGTTTGAACCACCAACTTTAGTTGAGCAGTTGATTGCAAACCACTTGCACAACCCAGGGACCTACCCTTATAGACCAGAAGTACGGCAATGATGACTCACAGATCAAATGTAGCCTTGGCCTGCTTTTATTTTTTTAATGATACTTTGTTGTGGTTTAAGTGGAAGTATACAAAGCAAAAACTGCTTCCCATTCAACAGTCTCCACACAAATTGTTCAGTGGCATTGGCTACATGCTTCACAATGTGCCAACATTCTCATTATTTCCCTTCTGGTTGTCCCATTTCCAGTAATCTAGTTTCCCTGCCCCCTAACCTTTCATCTGACTTTAAAGAAATCTTTTGACCATCAGGTTTCATACAGATGATCAGCCTTTTATTTTTATTTTTGTAAGTGGCCTTCGAGTTAAGAATGGTGCTTACATTTTCAAAAGTACCATACAGACCACATGTAATCCACAAAACTAGATATTCACTATGTGACCATTTACAGAAAAAGCCTGCTTGACTCCTGCTACAAACGTAGCCCCATCCCATCAGTATGTGAATGAATGACAACCTCGTGAGCCGTTGGTTTAAACAAAAAGATCCCATGGTCACAGTGGTAATTAGCAAACAAGCTAACCCCAAAGGGAGATTCGGATCGGGGGACCACCCTACCGAGGCCATTTCCCCATTACCTACTTGCCAAGGAAAGGCTGATGAGCTCCATGCACTTCTTGCACATGATAGACCCGCAGAGGCGACAATGGTGGCGGCGGTTACGGATGCTGAACTTACTGCCACAGTCAGGACAAAAAGGGACATCCTGGTCGCTGACCCAAGGCACCACTGACTTTTCTATGGCTTTGGAAAAAACAAACCAAAATCCACACAAACAGAAGAATGGGCCATTTTCACAGAAGAGAATAAGTTAAGGGAGTAAGTTAAAGAATAGAATGAAGAATGAAGAATAGAATAGTCAGGGAGTAAGTTAAAGAATAGAATGAACATGAACCAAGTTCTAGAGTTACCTCGGATCTTGGCAGACTCAGCATTGGTTCTGTCAAACGCGGTGAGCTGACAAGGAGGAAAGAGTGTCAGCGTGCGCACTTTCGCAAGCAGGAGGTGTCAAAGTGGGAATGGGCTTCACCTGCCCCCCACCCCCACCCCCTCCTCACATCATGAAAGCAAGTTCACTCAGTACAGTCTTAGAGCACCTTCCTTCCCCTCTCTTTATGGCTGGCTACCCACATAAACAATAACTAAGGACCGGCGAGGATGAGAGCGGGCTGGTTATTGAACCTCCAATTCTCCTGGACACAATTTTCTGCCCTACAAAGCACACAAAAAGAACTGTCCCTGTGGGTGCTGGCAGGCTCACCACACAATCCAGGCTGTACTCCACAGCATTTCTACGGTCAGAGTAAAGCAGAGTGGCCACAGCACGAGACGTGCTCATGTACCACAGGATGAGGCCCAGCCAGAGCTTCCCAGGGTCGGCTGATTTGGGCCAAACCCCACAGACGTGTTCACCAGTTCCCTCACTATCTGCCATCAAATGACCCATGAAAGGACTCGATGGGCAATGTAGTATTTATACCGGGAACATTCAGAAGAGAAAGGCACCCAGATGCAGGAAAGTTTCAGCAGCCTTTTGGCTCCAGGGAAGGAAAAGGGAAGCCCACATGGTGCTAGTCTGTCCAGGTTCACTTAAACCGTCCAGGTTAGACATGTTTACCACCTGCCCGGCACTAAGGGTGTTTCTTGGCCAGCAACAGATATGCATACAGATATACATGTAGAACACACGCTGTAGAAATGTTGTTTCCCGTCACCAACCCCCCAAGAAAAGTTAAACTTGCAGGGGGAAAAAATGTTTTGAAATGACAAAATTTACCTTCTCTAACCTGATTATTAATTTATTGACTTCGACAACATAGTGGTCAATCCTGGCAGCTCGGTGTTTTTTAAAATCAGAAAGATGGCTTCTCACAGCACCTAAAGGGGAGGAAGGTGGGGAAAGTTAGTTGCTTGTAATGCCTCTGGCTGAGCCCTCTATCTTGCTGCTGGTCTTCGATACATTTCAGAGGTGACCAGGAATTCTGGGATTTTAGTCTTACTACAATAATCCCCAACCTAAGATAGTACAAGCACAAACAATAGTTTATTATAATAATGATTGCTATCATCCAAGAGTTAAAAGCTGTGCGAGATGATCTGGTTCACCTCTATGTGGCCTGATGTTTTATAACAGCTTTATTGAAATATAATTCACATACATATAATTTGCCAATTAATACATATCCTTCAGTTGTTTTCAGTATAGTCACAGCTGTGCAACTATCACCACAATCCATTGCGAATGTTTTCATTGCCGCAAAGGTATTATTATCTTGAAAGTAAGTAGATGGTACCATAATTATACCCATCAGAAAAGTAAGGTGCACAAACCAGTGGATCTCACCAGGCAGATACCATGGGGGAGGGCATCAATGGCACATGGGACTCGGAGGCAGAAAGATCTTGATCTATACTGCTCTGTAGTTTCCTAGCTGTTGGACCCTGGACAGGTCACTTTGGGGTATAGAGAGTACCAAGAGGTCAAGCAGGGGCAGCATGTCAGGCAATGCTTCACACCATGCAGGCGCTCAGCATCTTCCCTCCCACTAGGACTTAATGCCCAGGAGAAGCTTTTGTTCAGCCAACCCTAAACACAGCACCCATAGCCCCTAATAAAATGATTTTTTTAAAAAACAAAAAACAAAAAACCAATGTGGATGCTCCATAAACTTTTGCTGAAGGAATAAGGGAATCTTCTTACCAAGTTCTTGGGGCTCCCACATATAAGGATCAACCCCTCCATAGTTAAAAGACTCATATCCTTGAGTCCCTGATTCTGCTCGGTCATCTCCTTCTCGTTTCAGCAATCTGTTCTTTGCTTTCTTAGCCTTCTGGACCAGACCTTGGGGGAAAAATGGAGCCCATAACACAAATGAACCCACAAAGAACTTCCAATCAAGAGTCAAGGGAAATCTCAGAAAACAACATTGATTAAAAATGCTGAAGAAAATGTTGGGTCCCAAGTAAAACACAAGTACACAAATAATGTATTACAAATACACAAAGCAGTACACTCACTAGCTAGCATTAGTAGTAAGTTAATGTGGCCAACAGAGAGGCTAAATCACTGCTCATTTCCAAATGGGAGGGTCCAGTTAAATAGTGGGGCTACAATAAAGTGTGATGAAGAATGGACCACAGTGATGGAAGTATTTATACCTTGATTGGGGTGGTGAGAAACCCTGGAACACAATACTCCGGCACTCAGCTGCTAACCAAAAACATTGGCAGTTCAAACCACCCAGCAGCTTCAAGGGAAAAAGACCCGGCATCTGCTTCCGTAAAAGTCATAGTCAATAAAACCCTACCGGCCAGGTCTTCTTTGTCTATGGGTCCCTACGAATTAGAACAGTCTCCAAGGCACTCAGCAGCAAATTGGGGTGGTAGTTACATGAATACATACATTTTTCAAAACTTTTATTGAATTGTAAACTTGCAAACG